GAAAATCAGCCAATGATCACAGACTTGTTCAGGCTCTCGCTTGATCATATAACAGTTGGTAAGGTGAGAATGACCAATACGAGAGCGACACAAAACAACTTCATGTCTCCTGCTGACACAATAGGAGTAGGGCCAGTCTCCCAAGATTGGTTAAAAGGCAGAAATTCGGTGCCTACCGCAACATATCTGTGCTGTCAACGATGTTAGATTTTTAGGCAATGAGAGGAGCATGACCAAAGCATGACAGAACCGGGAGCAATAATTGTATAGTAGTGAATTACTCAAGCGATGTACCACCAGGAGTTTCGAAAAGAATGAACAAGATCTGTTTCGCATAGTTGTTATAACAAGCCAAAGCTAAAATAAAATGTTCTATCAATATATTTTGTACATTTATTAATGAAAAATATTCAAGTAAATACTACAATTGATTATTTAGAAATATATTTTCTATGAACGTACACATGAGTCACATAAGACAAGAAGCAAAGAGGTACACCGTAGCAATAGTACTGATATCAGTGAAATAATTCCATCAAAGAGAAACTTGAAACGAGAATGAGGGCAGAAGGTATTCTGGAGGTAATGTACATTCAAACAGTCAAAATTAAAGTACATTTTAGCAAGAATGCACATAGGGGTAGAAGGACTTTACTATCGGGTACTTTATTAATTTTTCCTCAGGGAAATCTCGGGAAAGGTTCGAAATCGAGTTAACAAATCTAATGTATAAGATCTACTACTACAGTAAATATACAAGATCCGTGTCTAGAATGAATATACAAAGTTCCTTAGTATAAGTATAAAAGATCCACTATTAGAGTAAGATCTAGTAAGAACTAGGGTCAATATAAAAGATCCATTTTACATTATTACTTACAAGGGTAAGTATATTAGATTCACTATTACAGTTTAAAAAAAAGATCCACAACTAGGGTACATATACAAGATACACACTTAATTATACAAGGTACACAACTAGGTTATATATACAAGATCGACGACTAGGGTAGATGTAAGGTTCCCCTCTAAAATAAACAAGATCTAAAACTAAAGTAAATATACAATATCCACAGCTCGGGTAAGTATACAATATCCACAACTTGAGTAAGTATTAGGCTCCACAACTAGAGTAAATATACAAGATCCACTACTGAAGAAATTGTACAGGCAACAGCAGAACCAATCTACGAAAGATCACTCATTTATATTGTTATAAACTCAATAGACATCAACATAAGGATATTCAATTTTTGGAGGGTTATGATTGGGTTGTCTGACTAGATTTCTCCTGACCATTTTAAATATTCTGAAGCAGACTATCACCAGAATGAATAATATAAAGACAAATCCTAAACTCCAACCTACTGTTGACCAGATACCAGTTTTAACAGCATCTTTCATATTCATTAACAGATCCAGGCAAGACGACCAATTTGCTGTATGTTTTGTCACTACAAGGACAAAGGTAGGGTTTCAAAGGATAAACTATTTTCGACAACTGTGACGTAATGTTTCTGAAATAATAAAAAAGGCATATAATAATGACATGTTACGTCCGATGTTTCTGGTCGTTGTATTCACGTAGGAACCAGGCATGGCATTCAATGCTGTTATGATATGTCGTTACATAGTTTTACATAAACATTACATAAACTTAATGATGGCGTTGTGGGGTTAATTCACCATTTCCTAAATAAATAGTAAACATTTCTACCTGTGATAGTAATAATACATTGTTCCATGAACTAAAACATAACGAACAGCAAAAGGATTTATCAAGAATTGTCTGTTCTGTATGTTAAAATTGGTTCGAAAATGCTTCTCGCCGAAATTGGTCCAATAAACCTGTTCTTCTGAAATATAGAAAGCACGAACGACTGCTACTGAACTCAAATATTTTAAATAAATATTTTTTATGAAGTGACGCAATATAACCCGACTAACGTTATGTACATACAATACGCTGGGAGAGACTATCTATAGAAATGATTCCATGCACACTGGGTGCAATCTGTTTCTTACGGCCAAATGCTTTCCAGATAATAATGATATAAATAATGATAAAGGCTAACAATTAAGTCGCCTTAGCGTCTGAAAATGAAAATTTCACATTAATTTTTATTATCATTACCAGGATTGATCCCCGCAAAGTCATTCAAGACAACAGATTCAAACCGTGGTTCGCTATTATCGGGGGTTGATTTGAGCCTTTAATATATGTAAATAGGCTCTAGGGTGAATTTTGATTGACAAGTTCTGAACAGGTTCCGTCCGTTCCAATGGATTCTCAAGAAAGACAGTTGTCATTTTAACCTTGAAACACATGCTTTTGAAAGCTCCAATTTCGACGGTGAACTGTAAATACTATAATACCCCTTCCACACTGCAATAGTAATTTGGTTCTATCCAAATAACTTCCAGTTGCTTTCGCACTAGCAAATACACTTATTCGATTTTAACCAGAGTTTATCCAGATAGAAAAATCTACCTCCAGAGGTGGATTTCATCTGTATAAGATCCAGATAATTGGCAGTGCGAACCAAACAAGAAGTTATCCGGATAAAAATATCACGTGGGTATCACATGAATAAACACTTCAAAATAGCGTCTGTTGTTGGCGGGGAGGTTATAATAGAATTAATTAAAAATCACAAGAAAGGGATTAATACAGTACATGATTATGCACAGGAGGAGGAATATTTTTTGTAATTCATATTGATGAACATTGTAGTTCAATTCCGTTAACTGTGATATGACGTAATAATAGCGGTGCGAAAGCGGCTATCCAGATAGGCATTGTGAAAGCAAACCGAACTGAATCGAATCGAACTGAATCGGACTTTTTTATTCGGTTATAACCAGTTGTGCAGTGCGAAGAGGGTATTACTAACTAGCTTACAGTAATAGCTAAAACTAGAGCCACACGTGGCACAGAGTGGGAGTTTGATAATGTGGAAAATTGCAAGAGACCTTCTTAATTAGGTCACGTGCCAGAACTGTCTTAAGTTACTACATTTTCTGTTCTTGGAAGGTTGTGAATCCGGAAGTAGACTAGACCTCAGAAATGAAAGTATCAGCTGATAGCCAAAGTCAACGACCTTTGACCATGTAAAGATGAAAGTCACGAGATATATGTCATCAAATTTTCAAAATGCATATGGCTATTAAACCGGAAGCTGTCATTGGAATTCAAATATGAAGGTATGAGTCTATAGCCAGGATCATTGACCTTCAAAGTCCAAATTTGTAAATATGGAAATTCCAAAATCCGTTCTTTTTTTGAATTATCAAGCTTAATTAATTGTGCTTTTAGCACAAACTGGCCAAATGGGTGAGGTAATTGTGTGCAAAGTTCCTTTTTGAACAAATGTATCATATTAGGCGAGTTATGCTTCTGCCCCGAAATGTCAGTAATGAGTTATTCTACCTGGATGTGCCACGCCCACCTCATAAGTTAATTCATATTCAAAGTGTCTCACTGTGTTTCGAATTTCAAGCTTCTACACGAAATAGGTCATAAGATATACATTTATCCTGCTCAAAAAAGCGAAAATATTGTAAAAAACACCGAAATTTAAAACAATTTGGAATTTCAAATTTAAATTAAAAAACTAATGTTATATATCACTTAAAAGAGCACGATGAGCATTTTCAGATCCACAAAAATTAACCCTTTAAGTTAATTAGGTCACGAGCTAGAGCAGTCCAAAGTTGCTAATTTGTCTGGTTTTGGACAGTCGACGTCAAGGTCATCAAAGGTCATTGTCACGAAATGTCACCCTCCCTTCCCCGAAATCTGATAAGCCGTTTTCTCTGAATAGATTTCAAAATGGCGGCCAAAGTATCACTTCCGGAATAGATTTTATTTTGAAATCGGCTGTAGAATAACGATGGCTAAATTTGGTTGACACCGGAAGTTAAAATCCGTTTCCTGTTTAAATCGGAAGTGAAGTTAAAAATTTGACTTTTGCCATTTTGTTTACTTTAAAAATCTATCTTTGCACAAAACATTTAAGATCAATCGGATAAAAAGCAAAAAACTTTTTTTTTGTCAAAAATTACAAAATTCGACCGAAAATGTGTGCGACGAATTTTTAATTTTTGAAATTTGTAAAATGCTATCATTATTATATTTTATTATATGTAGATTCCAAAAATGAAATTCCGAATTTGGTAATGTGCAAATACTGGCTTTGCAACACAGTTGTCACTACAGAAGGTCTACACATGTAGAAATGTTGCTGACGAAGCCTAGGCTGTGGGCCCTGTGGAAAAATCGAAAAAAAAATTAAAGAATTGACATTTCGATGACAAACAATAAACATTCCCCATTTTTGAGACTAAGGTACGATTAATCAAACGAATTGTGAACCTTTCCTTTAATCCTTACCCCTGGATAGATGCATATGTGTAAGAATATGGGTAGTTATTTGGAAGATGGTAAAATCGCAAGCTATTGAGGTCCATAGGATGAGGCATTCAAACAACATCTTTAAACACACTTACTTACCTAAAGATAATTGTTAGTCTAAATATATCGATACCAAAACTATTAAATATAGTACGCTGAAACTTTCAGTGCGGATTTTCGTGGTGTAACACTGCTGAATTGGTTTATCAAGCTTATCAAAGAGTAACATGATCTATTTTACTGCTGTATGTCATTTAGTTTCAGTAATTTAGTTTATCCTTTAATTCCTTTTATCAATACCTACTTACGTTGTACATTCAGCGGGACCCACATTGAAGGATATTCTCGAACAACAATCTGATTTATATTAGAGTTTATTAGATATCTGCTTATTTGGTTATTTCTTGGACCTGACCAATACAAACTGGAAAACAATAGTTCAAGATAGTATTATAAGCTTCTTAAAGTGATACTACGTCTTAGAATTAACATAAAATTGAAGAATTTTAAACTTGGCGAATAAGAGCCAGTAGATATACCTCGTGTCATAAATAATATAACAGGACACTTAAAAAACTTAGTAATTATCCATAAAAATGCAAGTAACTATTGAAAAACGCTAAATATCATGAACTTAGTTTTATGAATTTTCCAATTTTCCAGATTTTACACGGATTCTGTTGTAACTTTATGACACCAGGTAAGTTCACTGATGTAAATATACTCATATTGACCATTTCCAGAACTTAAATTTTATGTTCATTCTAAGACGTAGTATCACTTTAATCAAGGCAGATATATAGAAGTAATCGTGTCCTTTAACAATGTAAGTTCGTCATAAACGAGTCTGTTGTTATATAACCTTGACAACGGCCTTTATGTTAACATTAGCCAATCAAGTTCCAATTGACTTCTGGTTCAATTATGTTCCGAATCCTCGAATTAGTGACCTTAAATGCAAGTGGGGTTGTTCGAAACGTTTCGAGAAATTCGTGTCCACTTTGGTTCTCAATGATCGTGTGTCTGTGTCGCTGGTTCTTTATAGTCCTGTTTGATGCTGATGCTCCTTTCATTTTGGTTTGCAACAAGAAGGACAAAAGGGGCAACAAGAAACACCTAGGAGGCAATGTAGAATTTGATTGCATTTTTTATTGGCAGATGATCTTTTTTAAGAGTAGGAAAAACTATTATTTAGTAGTCTGCTAGTGTTTCAGTGTTGCAGATAATTCCAGCTGCACTAAGCTTAAGACAGAGTTCCATCTTACCAAACACTATCAAAGGCTTTGATTATGTCGCAGAACACCGTCCATATATATGATCTTTGATCGATAGCTTTATGATAGAGGAGCGGAAATTTTTCTTGTAGACCAGTTGAACAACTGATACGATTAACAAATTGCAAAGCACTTACCTGGCTTCGTTACCATAATGATCAATACTTAGAATTGAATTTGAAGGGTTAAATTTCTTTACATATACAACTTTGTAATTGAAGAGTTGTCTGTTTGTCTTAACATCAAATTTCATTAAACCCCAATTCATTTCAGCAAATATTATCTGACCATCGTGTACTCTGAAGACCATCCTATCTGTTGTTTTCTCAGCCACAGCCACAGCACGCTGAAGTAATTCTAAAAGAAAAAAGTAAATCAGTATATTTTCCATTGGACATTTCTGTCGAAATAAATAAACCAATTGTCAACTATCCAAACCACAAATCGATACTGAAACTCAAAACAACATATTGGCGAAATATTGATAACATGATATGAAAGATAGTGAACCACAGCCATATACGCCCACAACGGCATGCGGATGGTAAATATTTAAGATTTTGGGGCAAGGGCAATAACTCTGCTTCTAACGGTCGAAATTAGCTCAAATTCAAATTTGATCTTCGTTTTATGAATATGTATACACATTCCGAATTTCATTTGATTCCATCAAAAAATCTAGTTTTTAGAGCGTTTACTAGCAAATGTTGACGGACGGACGGACGGACAGGTGTGCCGACAGTATACTTGGTCCTTAAACAAAATGACAGCGATGATAGCAAAAATGTCATTTTCCGATTACGTCATGAAAACGACCGCAAAATTTCTTAAGGGAAGTTTTGAGTGTGGTAAATACCTCATGGTTAAGCATTTTTGATTGTCAATTTTGGTCTTGGATAAAAATCCGCCAAGCAAGACAATTCGGTTGATCAAAACCTCAGCCAAAGTATGGCAAAATAAAGATTAAAAATTTTAGTAGTGGACTCCCCCAAAGAGAATTGCCATTTGGTTTTCGAATAGAGTAATACTACTATATAGGTCAACATATACAGTCAAGTAACCTAATTTCGTGGTAACCTATTTTTCGTGGTTTTCCGGAAGGATTAATAATTTACATGTGCGACCTCGCGTGACCTCCGCATTTGCTTGTTTTGATAAACATGGGTTTTCTGTACAATCGAAACAAACCAATTTTAATTATTTTGTAGAATATCTGAGGAAACATCTAAGACATAAAAAAAATTTTTTTTTAACTTTGACGAAATTCGGTGTTGAATCCTTATATCCACGAAAATAGGTTACACCACTGTACAATAACAAACACAAATTTCACTATTGAAATAGTGCTCATAACATCAAATATAGAGCGATATAGAACTATTAAAACAGAATTAAAACTTTTAATAATATGTTGTTGTTACTCAGAGTTTCACGCTATGCTATCTTTAAACAACTGAGCTATTTCAGCCTGCGCCCCTTCTGAAGTAAGATAAGTAGAAGAGTTCGGAACGTTTGTTCAAAGAAGTGTGCTTATTGATATTTACGATGGAAAGCTTGTCAGCTGAAACAAGGTTTGGTTTTATAGTCATATTGTCAATTGGAACTTTTTTGCAAAACCGGAAGTGCCACAGTTCAATACGTGCAAAAAATAGAAAATCGACTCTATAAGTCGTATTTTAGGGTCAATCTGTTTCGGGTTTTCATTTTTAGAATCTACTCGCAATATCTGATATGATAGCACTTTAAAAATTCAAAATTCGTAACACTAATTTTTTGGGACAAGTTTGTGATTTTTTTTGATTAATCTGAAATTTTGGGTGCTAAGAAAGATCACTTAAGTAAACATTATGTACGGTACATTCAAATTATTTGCTTAACTTCCGGTTTAGACATTTAAACTTCTTAATGTCTTTTTTAAAGACAAAAAAAACGAAGAAAAACATTCAGACCGGAAATAATACTTAGGCCGCCATATTGATATGACCGACTTTTATAAAACTTAAAATGCGGCTTCGAGGTAAAAGTTGATGTGCGTAATTTTGGTGTATATTTAAACTTCCCTCGATTGCGAAAAAAAAATGTGGGAGCCGATTTTTAATTTCGTTTTTGCTTTTTACAACTTCCGGTTGAAGTTAATTTTTTCAATTTTTATCTCGTGACCTTGACCTTTGATGCCCTTGGACTTTATAAGGTTAAAGGGCATTGACCTTGGCTATCTGTTGATACTTTGACATTTAACCTCCGACCTCCGAAAACAGCCAAATTCGCAACCTAGGACGTAACCTAATTAACCTAGAGGGTTCTTAATGTACTTGATTATTACAATCGTTTTTTTAAAGTTTCTCGTAGCGTGTTATTAAATTCCAGTGACCATTGAAGGTTAATGGAATTTATTAACCCCACGCGCTACGAAAAACTTCCAGATGGCATTAAGGTCATTATTTAAAGGTCAATGGAATTAACTGGCCCCACACGCTACAAGAAACTATCATAACAACAGAGGTCCTTAAGGTCAATGCAATTAACTAACCCTAAAAGTATACTACTGCTGTATTTCTTCAGTGAACTAGTAACTCGAAGCTCCGATAAAATATGGCTGGAACCACCTGCGAGAGCAGCAGCCAATTTACCGCTTGTAAGCAATGGTACCTGTATAATTGATGATTTGATAGTACTGGTAGTATGTTTTTATGTGATGTACGTGTATATGTATAAATTGTAAAATTAAATAGAAATAGATATTTCTATATCGCTCTACAGTTGATGTATTGAGCTCTATTTTAACAGTGATGAATTTTTGTTACTTAATAAATAAAGAAATATAATATAATATTTCATATTTGTACTTTTTTGACAAAGTTAATATTTCCAAAACAACTCATCAACGGTATATCACCTATCTATCCTAGTCAGATATAGTCAGCTTTTTGTAATACGTTTGACATAAACTGTGTTCACCATACTTATACAACGTATAGGTCATGTTCAGTTTTTTTTCAGTCTGTCGGGAAAAGGGACAAATTTTGAGGGGAAGCTGACTCCATCGTTCCACTAGAATATTTTTATCCCATTATGATTCAAGTTGGTCATGAATGTCACAGAAATTTGGAATAGGTATCTTTTGGGGTACAAATATTTTACCCCTATGGCACGAAAAGGGGTGATTTGAGGGGCCAACTGACCCCTGTTTATCGCTGAGATATTTGGTTTTTTTAACTTCATATGAAATGATTCTTATACTGTATTAATTTCAAGGGTTTTTTGACATACCCTAAGGGCCACACCCAATCGATCTGTACCAGCTTACCGACAGTTTTTCAATATCTGTCATAGTCATAATTCATTGAAACCTTCTAATTCATTGAAACCTTCTGGGTCTTTTAAGGTTAAATCGCCCGTATTTAGCCCTTAGATGTAAGGTCTTCAGCACTACTAGAACTGCACGAATATTGATAGATTGAATTTGAATATTGAATATCAGTTAGACTTCAAACTTAACATTTCACTTTCCATTTCAAGTCTCAAGAAAAGATGAGTCTGTATTTTAACTTGAAACACGGATAATTGGATACATTTGGACTTGAAAAATCGATTTTGACGGTGAGCTCTACACAATTACTGATAAACTAACACATTCCAATTTATGAGAGTAAGGTATGAATTTTGTGAAAAGGATGACGGACCAGTCCCTTTCCCAAAATTTAAAAAAAGTATATCCTACTTTGGAACACTAATCCGTTTTTAAATTTCTTCGACAGATTCACACTAGTCTTGTTGTCGTCTACATCGAGTGAGAAAAACCCGTTCGGTGTGACCCAGTAAAGGATACGTTGTTTCACATCGGCTGTAACGAATTGGATAGGTCCATCTGAGCCATTTTGATATTGTTGCCATTGTTTATCTTTACAAATTGTTATGTCGTCAGAATTCAGGGAAGAATTAAAAAACAGCGGTCCTTCTGAAAATATAATTCGTTAGTGAGTTCGTTAGTTTATTTATTTATTGTAATCTTTTAAATATTGGAATATCTTCCCATTGGACCATTGTAGACAATCTCTAGCCGTTATGATATTAAAAATATGATTTATTTTGTACACAAAATACAATAGTATAAATATATATACAATACCCCAACACATCAATTATTTAACACATTCTTGAGCACATTCGATGACTGCCTTCAATCTCTAGCCATTATTTAACGCATATGATTCCTCAATTGATAATTTTACGAAAGAAAGGGGTAAACTTGATCTTCGGAACATACCCTGCTTTCGAAAATGCAATACGCTTCTTACAGATTTATTGTTTTCTACCCAAAGAACCATATACATCAATTAGTAACTAAAGCATTTTGTGAAAACTGTTTGTTCCTCTGAAATCAGGCAAGTGAATACTATCTTGTTTAGAATGCTATGAAAGTCGATATTGTGCGTAATTCTATTTTATCCCACGAATTATTTGTTTCAAGTTCCTCATCATGCAAAAGCAGTTTTGTAATGTCTTGTCCCCAGTCTTTCAGAACATTGAACATTATTACTTGGTGTGTTTCACTTATAAGACTGCGGTCAAACTTGACAATAAAATCGAAGAAAATGCCAAACTACCTGAAGCAACGCTATATAATCCAAAAATTAAAAACTGCACAACCATTATAATTCTTGCGACATCAGTGGCAGTCATCTTGGTAAATGAATACGATTTAGATTTCAGTACTGGTGAGCTTACCTTACATCATTAAAAATTCAATTTAATAAGAATCAAAGCAATCATATCATAATTATAATATTTTCTATGGTTATCAAAAATGAAACATAGTCTGACTTAGTTTTAATTGCTCGCTTGTTCGCAGTTCTTAAACATCATATCACATTTACAATTACAATACCAGTAAGGCCAGACTTTCCAATGTAAAATTTCCTTGTTCCGTAAGTTACACACATATTGGTTGACAAACATTACTTTCTGGTTCATTAGCCATCCAAACAAAACTGATATTTATGACATAGCATATTCTGTTCGACGGGTGATTTGACCTACTGTAAAAGTGAAGTTTAACAAACATGTGACAAATTCCTAGTCCACTTTTAAATACATTGTACCCAAGTTATACACGATCACTGCTCATTGGGTCGGAAAAATCCTAAATTTTAGATGAAAATTAAAGAATCCAGTTTATGTACTTTCTGTAATTCAAGTATTAAAACTCTGAAACATTTATTTATAGAATAAATATATTGGGATCATCTCAACTGATAAATTCAGAAATGTGAACGATTGGAAATTAACAAATCACCTTTTTTTGATAACCAAATATTAAATAAATAAAACCAAAATTGAAAATAGTGTACCCTCCTCCATAAGCTTTCACAAATATCTTAACCAGCAAAGACTAATTTCAAAGGAGTTGCAGTTTTGTTTTTAAAAAACCAGAAATTCTTTTTAGAGTAAATAATAATAATACATACCCCCAGCATATTCGCCAGAAAGACCATATGAAAAAGATCAATGATTTTAAGGACCACCCGAAAAAAAAAAACCCTTAAGGCTTCTCTTTCGCAGAGATCCCTCATAAAGGGGAAATTATTGGTATTTCTTTTTGTTTTTTTGTTTCAGTTTTTTTTTTTTTTTTTCAATTCACCAATATAATATTGTATAATAAGCCTATTTATGTTAATTTCATTTTTTTTGTTTTTTTTTTGTTTTGTTAAATATTGCATATTTTTTCCTTATTGCATATTTATCTTATGTATCCTGTCATATAATCTATATGTAATAAAATGTATTAAGAAAAAAAGGAAAAATCCAAAAAAACAAAAAATCCCGTGATCTATGAATACACAAAAATGTACGTGCACTGGGGGTATAAAAACGGGTTGAATGGCTCTGGGAAAGGAAAGGGTTGGAGACACCCATGTTCACATCGGAAAAGCCTAGGGGTTGCTGTAACAACATTGATGCAACGTTACAGGCAGGGACGTCAGTAGTACTAGAGCTTACAGATTGGTCGCACGGTGATTCCCTATTCCATTTCATTTCATAGGGAAAATGCGACCGATCTGTAAGCTCCCAAAAAAGACCTAAACACCCTACATTCCATCAATTCCCTCCCAAAAAAACCTAAACACCCTACATGTCATAAATTCTTACATAAGACACTCACCCCATCTTCTTCATCATCAACTTCTTCTGTCACCAACCAGCCAGCATCATCTAGACCCTCTACTAAACCACACGTTCATACCCGACAGAGTGATGAATCCAAATTCAATCTACCAAAACCAACCAAACCTATTCTCATCATTGGATCGTCAAATTTAGGCCGTATCCCAGAAGGCACCTCAGAAACCCAAATAGAGAGCTTTCCAGGCGCAAGAATCTGTCATTTGAAGTCTATCATCACTAAAGCAGAAGCCAGTCAAGTACAAAATAAAGTAATAGTACATGTAGGTTTAGATGATAAACAAGAGGATGGTAATTTCATCCACATCCAAATTTCCAAACATCTTTAAAACGAGCATGTCCTGGAGCCTTTAAGAACCTATCAAAATTCAATGAACTTATCACAGCTAAACCACTAACGAATACCACTACCATTCCAGAATACTTTGGATTCATTAAAGTTCAAAACGACAATATTGATTGGACAGAGATGACAGCCAAGAATGTATTTTCTCCCTGGATGGCCCATTTAAACTAGATGCGGGGGTGGACCGAAACTGGATAAACAGTAGTGAATCTGAGCTGAAGATCATTATCTGTAATGGAAGAAAGTCTATTGGACAAAGGACTTAAATTTATACCCACGGCAGTGCCTTCATCCATTGACAAAATTTTAGATGCCACTTGCAAATTCGAACGTTTAATAAAACTGGCCTATTTTTACAGAAAAACCCTTGGTAGAGGAACCCGGAAGAAGTCTGTGGAAAAATCTGAGTGGACTCCACCAGACTGCTCCGGCGAATCTTATCGAGTCTCAGAATACATTGACCATTTTTTGTTACCTTTAGCGTGCCAACATCAATCATATCTAAAAGACACATCCGATTTTGTTGAAAAAATAAAGAGTTTAGAAATCCCGGGAAATGCCTTCTTCATATCAATGGACGTTAGTAGCATGTATACCAATATTGACAACAAAGCCGGTTTGAACGCTGTAAAAAAAATGCTTTGAGAGAACTCCTGACCCAAAACGGACGATTCTGAAATTCTTAAATTACTCGAAATTTGTTTAAAACGGAATGATTTTTATCTTAACGGTAAGGTTTATCTTCAGACTTCAGGAACAGCAATGGGTAAGAGATTTGCCCCAAGCTATGCCAATATATTCATGGCTGAATGGGAACGCGAAATTGATTTGATCTCTCCTTTCAAACCACTTTTCTACGGACGTTTTTTTGATGACATATTTTTAATTTGGCAACATACTATTCAGGAATTCTGGCAATACTTCGAAATTCTAAATAACCATCACCCATCAATCAAATTAACAGCAAATATAAGTGATCACAGCATGGACTTTCTCGACACAACAGTATTCAAAGGACCGGATTTTAATGAAACTAGGAAGACTGATATTAAAGTATTTTTCAAACCCACTGATTTTGATGATGCGTGTCAATTAATCTTTAAGAAATTGCGAGAGCGGGGATATTCAAAACGATATCTCCGCAGCATTAAAAGAAAAACTCTTTCAGGAAATGAGAATCGGAACACAATCCTCGTTCCGGTAAACTCTAATCAATCTTTCGGATCACGGCCGTGCAGATCTACAAGATGTAGAACCTGCGAGCATATTTTACATCCAATTCTTTCTCTAATAAGCATAACGGGAAACAATTCCCTATTAACGGTGAGCTTTCTTGTACCAGCACAAATATCATTTACCTAATTTCATGCGACAAATGTCATTTACAATACGTAGGCGAAACTAAAAACTCTTTGAGAAAAAAAAGAATTAACGGCCATCGTTTCGACATTTCCCATCATCTGGATAAACCTATTGGGAACCATTTCAACTCTCCCAACCATTCCCTCGCAGATATGAAGGTGGCGCCCATTGAAAAGGTCATCGCAGAAGAAGACACCAACCCTAAACGTTCAAGACTATACAGGGAGAGCTTTTGGATGAATCAACTAAAAACTATTTCACCCTGTGGACTAAATATACAGTTTGATTCTCAAATAATCCCATTTGTTGCTCCATTCAATAACATTTCTTGTCAAGCATCCCGAATTATCAAAAGATACTACACAGAGTTACAAAATAAATTTCCCACTATTTTTTACAAAAAATTAGTCATAGCTTATTCGAAAAATACAAATCTATAGGATATAGTTGTTCGTGGTCGACTTGACCCCACCGATGATGTAGAGTGATCTAACAGAATTTAATATTCTCATTTTCATTGTCTTTGTACTTTATAGTATATAATAGTAGGAAGCCACGAATACATAGCCATTAACGAATACCTATCTAAATATGGAGGAAGTGTCAATGGTAAAAACAATATTGAATTCGAAGGTAATTTGAATCTGAACAAAATAAAATTGATATTAAGAATTAATAGTCAAGTTGATTTCAACGTAGAAAATTCATTGAATACGTTACTAGGATTTGATAAACAAATATACACCCAATCCACTTTAGCACCACACAAAGCTAATATCGAGAATGATATCGATGTGATAAATATACATTGCAATTTGATAAACGGTGGATTTTTCAATAAATACAAACGTCAGATTATTTACATTCTTCCAACATTCACTGTACCGATAGGACATAAATTATAGAGAAACCATTTCAAACGACGTATTTACCACTTAATTCCTTTATGATTAAAGGAAATAAAAGATGGTAAAGTAAAGTTAGATAATCGAAATCATCAAATTCGTAGTTTTCATCCATGTTCAATTCTTTTCCGTCGTTGTAAGGATACATGATTCCTTCATCATCCGGTGCTTTTCTCTTAACGAGATTTAGATAACTTCTAAAAACTTTCTTTTGTTTATCATCATCCTTTGGATTAAATACTCCATTGGTATTTCAAATTCATTCGTTACATCGTGTCCATTAGCTAATCGAATATAATCTTCTACAGCTATCTTATCTTTAGAGTAACCCTGAAACGTTTTCTTTTCTTTTAGAATACCGTCGGAAGTTAGAATGATATTGTATTTAACTTTTGGCGCCAAATATAATTCCACCATCATCGTAATCATTCTTTCCTTTACAATACTCATTTTCGGACACCAACCCAGCTTCGTTTAGTTTATCCCAATTGCTAGACGAAATGTATAAACTACCGGTATCTGTAAGAATTGTTGTATTTCCAAGTTCTGATTTTAGACGCTTCACAAATCCGTGTATTTCCTTTATACGTAACTTATCTCCCTTTTTCGGTTTCTTGGGCGTACTGCTGACTGTTAGCTTAGAATATTGAAAGATAGACAGAAATACAGGGGAACGAGGTTTATAATCTTTTTATTATCTAGTTATTAATATATCGATCGACATTTCTATAACCTTTAGGATATTGCATAAGTCCTGATCCTGTAAAGCCTACCCCTCAAATGACAAATTGAATGTTTGAATGTCATTACAGTTAGAGCGATCCTGAAAGAAGTAACTTTCCATCATCATAGTTTTTAAGGATAGAGTAAAGATTGAATGGTAGATG